CAAAGCACAATTTCTGTTCTCATCCTGAAGCAAAGTTCTTAACCCGAGGTACTATTTCTGTGACATGCTTGCATAGGGTCACTGACAAGTGCAAACCCACCCTGGCTAATTTGTAACTTTAAAGCAATGAAATACACAACAAAGCAACCTCTCTGACTGCATAGAGCCCGGACAGCCCCGTGGTTTTCTATGGATCTGAGGACAATAAAGCAATCGCTGAGACGGCTAGAGCGCCAGTGGCGGAGAACTCATTCTGAATCTGACCGGACACAGGTTAGAGCTCAATGTTGAGCCCACCAAGTTGTAACAGTGACGGCGAAAAAGACCTTCTTCACTGCCTCTGTTGCATCTGCAGAAAACAGCAGTAGGAGACTCTTTCAGGTGGTGCACAATTTAGTAAGTCCAATGCAGCAAAGCTAAGTAGAACCTTCTTCCTTGTGGCTTCTATGTATAAATGGTTCCTGTTGCAGCTGGTGTATTACAGATGATTTGTCTTTTTGTTAGCTACTAGTTTCCTCCCAATTGGTGATATCCAACTAAGTCATACCAACAGCAGACCCACAGAAATTCCATTATGTTACTTCATGTCCATTGATTTTAATGTGTTTACTCCAAGTAAATCATTCTTTATTTTTTATAATTTTTTAATGGCAAAGCAGCACTATTTCTCACTTTTTTAAAAAAAAAATAAAATTAATTAGATGACCCTCAGGGTCCCTTTCAACTCTACAATTCTATTCTATGAATTCTACACTAACAGGCTGATTCACTAACAAGCTGGTCTATCTTAATGTGCATTTCCTACCTATAACTTCACAAAGGGCATACATTGATTTTACAGAATGTCAACCTTGTGCTCAAATTATCAAACTTTTGTTTAAAATTATTACTTCTGTGGTAAATTTCCACCTTGAAGTTAAAGTGCTATAGAAACAAAAAATAAATAAATGCATAACTGTTTTACAGTAAGAGCCTAACACCAGAAATTATTATTGCATGTTCTTTCTTTACTTCTCTTCCCTTCATTCCTTTTTCATTCTAGGTACACCTAGAATCATTCTTTTCACCAATATATTTTCCTGCATTAGTGAATTCTCTTTACATAACTGAGACACAAATATAACTTGAAAGTTTTTTTCTAGAAAAGAAAAGCCAAGTAAGACAAAGAATTTGCTGATACACACATGCCACTCCAAGAATTCTCCTGACGAAGTTCCCACACCCAACTTAATTACTTCCCTACTATAAAAACATATTCCATCTGCATTTATTCTAATACTTCCAAGTCCAAAACCAACACACAATAAAGCTAGCTAAATAAATGAAAGACTTTAGCCCCAAGTAACAGGCCAGGAGCTATTCTGCAAGTGAAAGCACCTCCAGCATCCATTTTTGTGCTGACATTTCACTTTACACACAATGTTTTCTCAAGACTTGTTTTAAGAAGAATGTTCATCATGCCCAATGCCTGTATGCTATGCTATAACCGTGCTCTCTAGTGCCACTAAGGCTAAAAGTTCACTGATTATTCTAAATAGTGTACATAGCATTTCTAACTTTTCCTTTTGGTCAACGATTTTGATAAGTTCAATCTTATGCATAAAAATACTAATAAAAATTAAAAAATCAAGAAATATCAGATTTTTAAAAAAATATATACACTGAAAAACCATTCCCCAAATGGCCTAAATATTCAGTATTGCAAGGTCACTGTTTATTCGATGAAGAAATGTGCATTATGATGGAAAGGCTCTAGGTAACTTGTGTACTTGTTCTGGTCAACCCATAGACTTATAAGTATACATAACTGCGGCAAATGAAAATTTGGCCCTTGTGTGGATGTAATGCTTTGGTTAGCCTCAGATTCACATGCTCCTTTGTCCCTTCTCTTCTTCCTCCATTCAGTATGAATAGACAGCGGTTTCCTGCTTGTTTCCTGCACACAGAGCTGTAAGCTCATGATAAACTGTGTTTAGAATAATAGCGAGGAGACCATTAATTGTAATGTAATTGTACCAATTTTACCAATTAATGTAAAATGTAAAAATGTGAACATTCATTCATTATTCATTCAGATACACCAGTCAGAGAGCTAGGATCTGCTATAGCACCCTGTTGTTTTGTCATTACAGTGGTACCTCGGGTTAAGTACTTAATTCGTTCCGGAGGTCCGTTCTTAACCTGAAACTGTTCTTAACCTGAAGCACCACTTTAGCTAATGGGGCCTCCTGCTGCTGCGCCGCCGGAGAACAATTTCTGTTCTCATCCTGAAGCAAAGTTCTTAACCCGAGGTACTATTTCTGGGTTAGCGGAGTCTGTAACCTGAAGCATATGTAACCCGAGGTACACTGTATTATATTGAAGCTTTTCAAACTAAAAGTTCCTCCAAACAGATTCAGAAAAAAGGCAAAGAAAACACCTAATTGATAGTATAAAAATTCTATACTAAAGTCACATATAAATTAGATTTTAAAAATCTAAAAACAACAGAGTAACATTAAAATTAGAGCAGCATTTTAAAACAAACATAAAAACTTTAATAGCCTGCCTAACATCATAAATTTCCAAGAGTTTGCCCATTTCCCACTGCCTCCCAGTTGCATATACATATGGTGGCTAACTTGGATTTGCCTCTATGTCAGGTGTGGGGAATCGAGGGTTCACAGGTATAATTAGGCACTGTTTATCAATTTGGCCTATGAGGCCATTTTAGCCATTCCACATATGCCTACTTGCTCAAGTGCGGAGTAAGTAAAGATGTGGCTGAGCCAAAGGTGGTTTGCAGCTGACTGCTGTGGACTGCAAATTGCCATTTGTGGAGCTATGCAAACCCCAATGATCAGCTGATTGTTAGGGCTTGCCTAGCTCTATGTACGTCACATTGCAACCCTCAACAATCAGTTGATCATCCATGAGGGAAAAATAGGTAACCTGATGTCACTGTGAAATAAGGCAGTGTTTCCCAACCTTTTTTGGGCAAAGGCACACGGAGGTAGGCTGGTGTGCCGTGGGAGGGAGGCGGGCGAGTCGGGCGGCGAGCACACGCGGGGCGGCGAGCGAGCTCCCTCCCACATCCCATCGCCGCTCGCTTCGGCCGGCCTACTGGGCTGTCGCAGGCGGAAGGCCTGCGCATGCGCGAGGTTTTCGCACCTTCCTCCAGTAGGCCGGCCGAAGCGAGCGGCGATGGGATGTGGGAGGGAGCTCGCTCGCCGCCCCGCGTGTGCTCGCCGCCGCCGCCCCGCCTCTCGCCGCCCGCCTCCCTCCCATGGAACACAAGGCAACGTTCCGCGGCACACTAGTGTGCCGCGGAACACCGGTTGGGAAACACTGAAATAAGGTGATCTACAAGTGGCTTTCTCCATGTACCTGTCCAGCTTTTCTTGTGGGGTGGGGCAAGATAAGGATTTGACCCACCAGATGGGATATAATTCCCCATCCCTGATACATACTATAAGTGAAACGGCCCTAAGATTGGGTGAAGTTATATAGTATAATCCTATATACTTCTCAAAGTACATTCTATTGAGATCAATGGGCCTAAGTCCCAGGTAAATGTGTTTAGGACTGCAGCCTTAGAATGCTTTCAACACTCTGGTATAAGAGGATAGATTTGAGCTAGGGAGAGACCCTTATTCAAACCACCACTCAGTCATGAAGTTCTCAAACCAATCACTATAATTTAGGCTAACATACCAAACAGGATTGTTGTGAGGGGTTGCAGCAATCGTATATCCTTATCTTGAGTGCTTCAGATGAAAAGCTACATAAAAATCTAACAAACAGTAATACCCAAAATGATAAACAAGTACTGTACAGATTTTATATTTTGATTAAACTAGACTTTATCTCAAATAGTAATAAACATAGCTGGCACTACAATGCCTTAAGACTAGCCCCTTCTCTTGAAAAGCAATTGAACTCATATTTTAGAATGGCTAAAAACTATACACTCACTTAACTAGGTTTCTTAATTCAGTTGAAAATATCTGTATGCAGCAGTTACAGCTATTTAAAAACTCTAGCATTTAATGAGAACAGGAAGGAAAGATGGAATCTCATAAACAGCATGGAAAAGGAACATTGTTACCATTGATCTTAATAGCAAAATTCTCATTGATCTTGATAGGAGAAGGACCACACTTCAAACTACACTTAGTTACATTTGGACAATATTCATACTAAAAAATGTATTATCCACTGCAATAAAGAAACAGAATGAAAAATTCTAAGGATTTTTCAGTCATCCAGTAGATCTTTTAGGAAGCTTTTAAGAGGTGTTTGGTTCTCAATTTAAAAGACACAACATGGTGGCTTAAAAGGTTATTTTCAGGATGTGTCTTGAAACTCATTCTTAATAGAAAATATTTTGTGTTTTGTGTTTCTGTTAGCTGCTAGTGATAGTCCAATTTTTACCAAGATAGTGTGGAGATTGTTTAAAAACTTGTAATATTTAGACCTATTTGAAAACAGAAGCAATGGATGAAACAACTCAGAAAAGGCCTAAATTGCTTCATATTACAAATTTTACACAAAACAGATGTAACAGAACATAAATACTGGGTGGCATGTTTACAGTCATTCTTACTTACTTTATTATCCAAAATAGAGACAAAATTGTCATAAAAGTAATATATGTAAAGCAAATAGTAAAACATGTTGAACAGTGTACTGTTTTCCAAACAGTAGCATTTTTAGTCTACATAAAAAACTAGAAACATTAAAACTGAAAATAAGTAACAATACATAGACAACAATAAAACAGAGAAACCAGACTTTTTTATACAGTAATGTCAAAATTATTTAGCTCTTAATCCAGCCAAAATAAAACCTCTAAAGTGAAATATATTCAGAAGACTACAATAGGAGCTATTTTCAGACTATGAAAGCAAATGATCTTCCATGATATTTTCATTTATCTTTACCTTTCATGATTATTCTTATAAATAGCATCACTGCTTTAAAGCACTTGAATTTATCAAAGCACTGTTTAGTTGCTTTACCTGGAATTCTGAGGTTCTGAAACATCTGAATCTGTGCACGCTTTCTTCACCTGCAACAGAGTATGATTGCCAGTTACTTTCCCATGAAAAAACGAAACAGAAAAGTTTCCTCACCTACAGTTCATGCACTTACATCACACAAAATGGACAGAGCCCTGCTCACCATGGTCTCTATAAAATACTTCTCACATTTTACAGTGCGGATATGCAATACTAAACAGTGTGCTTCATTATTATCCCACGAACAGCTGCCAACTTAACTTCCCCTGACTCCGCTAGTATGTAAAACGTTCAGCTAAAATAGTTTGGGAGTAGTCTGACTTGGAACAAAGAAACCAAAGAACCAGGTTCCCTGCTTAGAAACGAGAAAGCCAAACTGTTCTCAATTTTGTAAAGAAATGTTTTCCCAACTGATACGGCTTCTGTTTCCTGCTAAAGCTCACAATAATAAACACCAGATTCTGTGGCAAAAGTGCAGTGTTAGCTAAATAATTCATACATTAATTTTCATCTTCTAAATCCGGTATACTTAATGTGTGTTGCTCCAGTTCAAATATTTTGCAAGTATTATCCATATGTATCTATAATCTAGTATGTACTTTGTCTTTTCAATCTGTGCAATAACTCAATGTTTATCATGGAATGAGCAAACATAAAATATTTATTAAATTTGATTTTCCACATTTTGCATAGCATTTGTGTCTTCTGAATCTCATATACAGTAAGACCTCCTATTAGATGCTTACAGCATTTTAATTGAAACTGGATCAATTGTTATCAGTATGTCCTTTAAACTCCTAAATAAATTATAGCTGTGTTTTATACAGCACATTTGGTATAAAATACTTTATAATCTTAATTACTTAAAATTAAAAAACCCCAACATAATTCCTTCATTTTTGCAATATGTGGCAATGTTACAGGAGGGATGACGAGGCATAGTGATCTGCCAAGAGTGGTCCAGTACAAAAAAACTGGAACTTCACCTAGTTCCAGGCTCATGTTGTTGTTGTTGTTGTTTAGTCGTTTAGTCGTGTCCGACTCTTTGTGACCCCATGGACCAGAGCACGCCAGGCACCTCTGTCCTCCACTACCTCCCGCAGTTTGGTCAAACTCATGCTGGTAACCTCGAAAACACTATCCAACCATCTATTGGCTGGGTTCCACTTAACAAGAAACCATAGGTTCCTACTATTAAAATGTGTGGTAAACCTTGGGATTCATTGCTCCCTGTTCCGTCTTCTCCTCTTTCACATCCACATGGAGGAGACTGAATGTTCGAGTTTTTAAACATGCTACCGTCTATTATGACCAAACTCATTGTACATGATGAAATCATTGAACCTTTCCAGCCAATCTGCTGTTCATAGTCTTTTTCCAGCAGATCATAGCTCTCCTCCCACTCCAGCCAGCTCTGAGTGCGAGGTGGTGGTTCCGTCAGAGTGCGTTGAGGCAGCAGTTTTTGAAGGCTTCCCTTACCTTTGATTTTCCAAGGGGAAAATGAATGCAGAACTAGTGGGAAGGATGTCAGGGTCCCAGACCTTCCAGAATAAGACTCTTAGCAATTCCTGGCTGGAAAGGTCCAAGGAGTTCATCAAGTAGATCACTTGATCAAGGACTGGAAGGGTGAGAGACAAGGGAAGCCAATGCCATATGTCTGTGTATGAGATGTAGTGAGTGTATGCCTGCCCCTTCTGCAGCATCTTCTTTCCTACTGCTCATCTGTTTCCAAGTCATCTGAGCAACAGCAGAGGGAGGCTGTATAAGTGCCTGTGTTTGAATCTGTTACAGGGAGTGGAGAGCAAGAGCACTTTGTCAGCTCAGGCCATCCACTTTGGTTTGGGGCTCACCTACTGCCAGAATGTGGCTCCCAGAAAGTTAGCACAGGGGAATGTAGCCCTCCTCTGTGACCCCATCACATGGGAAGTATCTTCCATTTCTTCCTCTACAGATCGATTTGACTTGCAGAGCTTCCATTAAAAGGTGATTTTTATAAAAGCACAAATTTAACCCTTCATAAGCTGGAGTAGCATAGGCTCTGGTGCCTTTAGCAGAGGCTTTCTCCTCTTGTATGTCTTGGCAACAAAGGGTAGTGAGTATTTGCATCAGACTATTTTACTCTCCTTTACTATGACAAACTGCAGCCTCTGCAAAACATGGCTCCCCTTTAATATCCCCCTAAATCTTTCTATTACAGCAGTATAAGTGGACATCAAGACGTATGTTTAGAAATACGTTATTCTAGGATACACACAAGTTAGGAACCCTCTACTATTTAAAAGAGTTGAAACTGGTATTTTATACATTCTGTTGATTAAAAAAGCAATTTAATTTACCAGATCTGTAAGCAGAAGCCACTGAAGAGTCAGGTTTCCCCATCCTACTCCCTTCATTTGCATATGCAAGAAGATCAGCAGCTTTTGCTTCTGCTTTTAAACCAGAAGTGGATAATGTCTAGCCCACTGCCCCACTTTGACCCATCAGGCCATTCCTGGAAAACCACACCCACCTGCCCCATACTTAAGGTCATATGTGATGTTGGGGTAGAGCAAATACTATTGTGGCCTTAAAGAAACAATTAGGAGCTTAAAATAAGCTCCAAATTATTGCTGAATAAAGGTACACTCCCCGCTCCAATAGTTGATAGGTGGCTGGAACACATCTTGCTCCAAAATCATGGTTTGCATTGAAACAACTGCTAAAATGGAGCAAAAATCCTGTTTTAACAGGGGTTTTAATGCAAACCCCTTTGTGAACCTGGAGCAAGCTTTTTTTGAAGGGACACTAGGAGTGACCCCTCAAAGAGCCTTGTCACTTGATACCATTGTGATGTCAAGTGATTGCCCTCACTCACCTGTCAAATTTAGCTTGTAAAGAATAGGGCAGATATAGATCTGGCATGCTGGGAAAAAGGTCCTCTACAACTGTTTTAAACAAACCACAGTTCCCCATAACTGAACCGCAGGATTTGAGGCTTGTTTAAACCATGGCTTAAGATCAAGCCAGGATTTGAAAACACTGTTTGATTCTGCATTTTTCTCATTCGTCATAGTTTGAACAAATGTCAGTTAACTGGCTTTCGTGATTACCAGGAACTGTGGTGTATTTAAAAGGAGATGTGTCCAATCTCCATCCGCTAGTAGACATGGAACAGGAAACCATTGTTATGTCTGAACTGGGCCTAAATCTTAAGCCTATGGGCAAAGACACTGAACTAAAGGAGCTAGGAAGATAAAGGATATGTTATCTGAACTTCTTATTACCAGATCTGCATATTTACTGAAAGTGCTAATTTGGGGAATTGACAATACTACTTGGGAATTGCAATGGTCATATGCACCTTGCCAAACAAAGCAATTTAGCAGTGATCAATGAAAACCATTATTACTGTGTGCTTGGTCCTGTGAACTAGCAATAACTGCATCAGGGTTGCCATTCTACTATTTATTTGTAAAACAATAAAATAATCATATCAACTAAATATCATGCCAAAGAGCAAAATCTTATTTTATTAAGAATGATCTTGCCATTCTTGAAAATGGGCAAGTTTGGATTTCTTCAGGAAACGCAAAAAGAGCACTTGATTTAATAAGGTTATAGGATGTGTTTGCCAGCGGTCATTCATAGGATCAGGGCTAGCATGAACCTTAGGGGCTTTCCCTATCTAGCACAATGACAACACCACTCATTGCTCAGAATAAAGCCAATTCATACACATAGTTCTGGGACACGTATGAGGTTTCAGCTGAACTGAGCTACTCAATAACAATATTTTACTCTGCTCACAAGTCAGACACCTTTCGAATAATATTGGTACACTACATTGATTCTCAGAATTGTGTTCAAGGTCCAATGGTGAGAACAGCTGGCAACATGCAGAAGTTTGTGTGCATTCTCAGGTGCATTATGTGCACTTGGCACAAGATGCAATGATGGAACAGCTGGCAACATGCATTATGACAGGTGTACAGACAGCTTGAGAGGATGCCACATAATGCCACCTTCCTGTCATAAGATCAGGTAAACACTGGCTCATGGAAGTAGAGGGATTGTCTTACCAAACACACCTAAGGTGATCCATACAAATCTTTCAGCCTGTTTCCTATTGCAGGATTACGGCTAGAACACCATACCAAGAGGTTAACAGAAACAGCCTGCCATCACTTTCTGCTGCAGCAACAGAGGCTGCAAGAGAAGGGGTGGTCTAGAATCTCAAATCATGCTTTTATTTTGTGGGCTAAGACAATCTGGATAATGCAGCCTGCAACATAAATGTTTTTTAGCAATTCGAAGTGGCTCAGTAAGAAGCACAATGAGTTTATAAGCTAATCTGTAACTCATATTCCTTTTTCAATTCATAGTAATGGAAACTGATGTGAACATTCAGAAGATGACCTACTGATCAAATACTCCAACTTGAATCCCACATTTGGCAGAGGAGGAGAATAGGAATGATGCAACACATAACAGAAAGGACAAAATATCATAACAAAAGTTTATTCCTCCCCTAACTCTTTCAAGTTCAACACAGCTTATACAAATTCTCTACTGACCACCACCACCTATATCCCACTTTATTCTCATAACACTTATGAGACACGTTAGGCTGACAGATAGTTCATTCACAGTTCTGCTTTTCCCACGCGCCAATTCAGAGGTAAACAGCGGGTTTTCCTGGAAGAAAGCGGTGGGACAAGTGGAAGTGTACTTGAACCCAGAGGGTGACCTCTCTACTCCTTCATTGCCTCATCTGGTCCTCCATTTCCACCCAGCATTTTGGTACCAAAATCATTTACATATCTTGTAACTCTAATCATATGAAACCCTTTCTTAAATTCCTTCACCGGCTTTCTATCTACTTCCACATTAAGCATGAGATCCTTGCCCTTACCTTTACAGGCTTCTATGGTCATACCCTGCTTTAACATCTCTCTAGGTCAGTGGTTCCCAATTAGGGGTCCACGGCCCCATCCCCTGCCTTCCCTCTCCAACTATTTTTTTGGGTCATTTTTACATGGTAATGTATCAAATTTTATGGTCTATTTTAGCG